GGCTTAAGTGGAGACTTAACTAATCCTATAAAACCTTAATTATTTAACTGATAACAAAAACGTTAGAAGCTGATGTTGCTTATTTTGATCATTTTTGTGCTTTTGAATTCATTTGTGCTGCTTATGTAGCTCACAAGCAACTCAGTTTTCAGTAGAAATTAAGAGGGTAAATCGCAACCAGGTGTGGATAATTAGATGCCTGTATTATCTGATCTCCAGATGGAGCACCTCTATAAAAGCAGAGATTTTGTTGCTAGTCTGGAGCAATGCCATATCACAGACTTCTCTGGACTAAATACATATGAAAGGATTTCCAGGAAAAAGCCTCTTCTCTCTAAAAACAACATGGCAGCTCAGATTAAGTCTGTAAAGTTTTAAATGAACAAACCATAAAGATTCTGGTACAATGTCCTTTGGACAGATGTGACCAAAGTGGAGATGTATAGCCATGCACAGCGACACATTTGGAAAAAGCAAACATAGCATATCAGCACTACAGCAGCTCCTCATACCAGCTGTTAGGCACGGTGGTGGAGCGGTCATGATTTTGGCTTGTTTTGTGGCTAAAGAACCTGGGCAGCTTGCATTCATTGAGTTGTGAGGTCATCTACCAACAGTTAAAACTTGCCCATAATGCAACAGGGCAATGATCACAAGCATAGCAGCAAATCTACAACAAAATGTCTGAAAAAGGAAAGAATCAAGGTTCTGCAATGGTCGAGTCAAAGACGAGACCTCAGCCTGACTGAAATGCTGCGGTGGGACCTTCAGAGAGCCGTGCCTGCAAAATTCAACAAAGTTGTAACGAAGAGAGGGGCAAAGTTCCTCCATGATGCGGGACACTAATTAGTCATACTGAAAGTGACTTAAATTTATTGCTGCTAAAGGTTGTTCTACAAGCTACTGGTTCATGGGGAGCTCAGGACTGCACAGAGTCCTGTGAAAAAACATGTTTTCACAGGATTGTAGATGAAAGATTTTATGGATCAACTTTTGTGTTGAAATAGTGCAGGATTGGCACAGAGCTATTATTTTAACTCTGACTCATCCCTTAAATATTTGGGAAAGTGTTCTGAATACTACATAACCCCATCGATTCAGTTCTCACTCCCTTATAATAATCTATTACAACAACTATACTTTATAACTAAGGTTACAGAGTATTTCACTTTACATGGGACAGTGATTTTATGATTTTACCCCCCCACTGATCATCCTGAGACACTGCTCCAAATTTCCATTGGCTCTAGTTTACAAAAGTCAACACATACAACTCTCACAAGAAATGTGTGGCTGAGAGAGAGATCCCTACTGATGACAGAACAGAACAGAGGCTACAATAACAGCTAATCGTTTTATCAGATACTGGAGCACACATTTAAAACAAATATCACATAACAACATAATAACAAACTTTAGCTTTGATTTTTGCATTAAACAATCAGTGTGTAAACTGGTCCCTCACACGATTGATACTAAACTTATAACTTACACACTTCATTTGTTTATTTTAATGCCAGATATGTGAAAAGATGACCTCTTACTCTTGTAATGCGCACCAGACAGAATCCTGGCCCCACAATAAGCATCTTAGAAATGGGAGAAATGCTGAATACAAAGTTTATTCCTCTAAAAATAGAGGAAATAGAGCAATAGAAAACTATTTGAAATAAAAATAATTATATAATAATATGGAATTGTGCTGATAAGAGAGACTTTCCAGGCATGGCCACTTAGGCCCCAACAGGAAAGATAACTTGACTTCTTTGTCTTTATCAGGTCACTTTTGCTGAAATTTGCATAAGCAGTAGTACAAGCTACGGTACTATGAACGCTGATTAAACTGAGACCTGAACTTGGCCTACATCCTTAAACCTGCGGCTTTTCCAATGCACAGCCGGAGTACTTTAGCGACAGCAAAAAAAAGTGTGATTGTTTAAAAATGGATGTGGAAGCAACCCTGTGACTTGAGTGTATTTATCATTGTTCTCAATAAAAAAAAATCCCCCCAAAACCAGAACTCTGAATGACAGAGTAACTGAGCTAAAGACGACATCTGCACAAAATGATACATACACACCCAAATACATTACTCCAAGTAAACAGTTTCTCATTCACAGTTAGCCTACACAGACT